CATATTAGGTTATTTTAATACTAAAGATCACAGATTCAATCAATTCTATTTTTGATCACAAAGTGAAGCCCTTATATTTCAAAGGTTTCTAAATGTCCAATTAACATCTAATGTCCTCAATTTCTGCCTTGCTGACCTGCACTAAAACTTCTCATGCCTGCTAATTATGTAATAGGTGAATGAATGAAGGATGGCAGAAAGGCTGCTTGACGACTTGAGAAAGTGTCCATACAGAGCTATCTACACATTTTAATTAAGTTTTCCTGATGCTAAAGTGCAGGAAACCGTAAGTTGGAATAGTGAAGACACAAACAGTCAAGGAAGAGAGAAATTACCTGAACATATTGTTTAGATAAATTAAAATCACTTTATCCAAGAAAGTACGGTTATTATGTCTGCCTTAAACCAAATCATATTGTTGGTTTCACAACTTGGGTTAGTTAAGAGCATGATTCCCATTTAGGGAAATGGAATCCTTTTCTTTGGAATTGTTCCCTAACTCAGTTACCATCACCACCACCAAGTGTAAAAATTATCTTCAATCAATCTTGATTTGTATGCTTCCGAGAATCACAACTAAGAAAAATGGGCACCGGCAGGCAAACCAGGCTACACGTTCAGTGACTCAAACCGCGTCTTCCGGCTGCTAAGCTCATACTCTTTCCACTACGCTCTACAGGCCCCTTCTCAATAACAACGGAAATCTAAAACAAGCTTTCAGAGTTTTCGAAGATCCACTGTTTCATTTGATCTTGGTAATAATTTTGGAAAGCTGGGACAGACGTATCTCTAACATACAGCACAATGGGTCCCCAAGTATGGTATTTATAGAAAAATGTAAAGTTAAAAAACAAAAGCAAAAACGAAAACCCAAACCAAAAACCTGCTCTCGTTTCTGATTGTGGTTTAGACCAGGGGTCAGTAAACTGCCCAAAGAAGTTGTATCTAATGCCTGGTAATATCCAAAGACATAAATAACAACTAAAAAAATTATTGTGTGCAACTTAAGTATGTTACCTTTTGAGTAATCGTATCTTTAAATGAGTACAGCATACCTGTTATGTTTATATGCTAGGGACAGCAAATACCAGATATTTGTAGTATCCCTCCTCTTTCCCACTGTAATCCCTCAGCACACTCTTTCCTGCTGGGCCTGAACCCAGCCTCTGAATCTTTCTGAACATATAGCTCCAAACAGACCCTACCCTATCAATTGCCTGGCAATATTAGTCACCAAAAAAAGCTACATTTTCCCATTCTGACTCTCTCTTATGTTGTATAACAGCTGTTTCTTGCATTTTTCTTTGCTTTTGATTTGTTGTTATTAACGGTTCTCACATTACTTCATATATGTGTATATTGTCTTTACCAAGTAGAGGGACTCTGCCTTTTATTTATCTCAGAGCACCAAATGCAATGATTCATAAATAGCCGTCACTCCAAGTGTTCCGAACGTACCTAAGACAAATGTATAGTATTTATGGAAGAATCTAAAGTTAAAAAAAAACAAACACAAAACCCCCCAAAACTGTCCTTGTTTCTGATTGTGGTTTAGGCCAAAGGTCAGCACACTTTTTTCTGTAAAGAGCCAGCTAACAAATACTAAAAGCTCTCTTTGCCAGATGGGCTCTGATGTAACTACTCAACTCTGCCATTACAATGTAAAGCACACATAGAAACGTGGCAACGAGGGAGTGTGTCTACATTCCAGTCAAACTTTATTTTGAAATCTGAATTTTACGGAATTTTCACACATCACAAAATATTACCCTTCTCTTAACTTCTCTCCAGACAACTTAAAAATGTAAAAACACCATTCCTGGCCTTCGGGCCACAGAGAAACAGGAGACAGCCTGCGCTCAGCCCACAGGCTATAGTTTACCGATCTCTGGCCTAAATCTGTGGTTCTCAAAATGAGAACTTCGGGTGGTCTGAATCTGCAAGATCCTTTCAGCAAGTCCAACTACCTATGTGTGAGGCCAGCATTTCTTTGTCGACTTCAAGCAAAACAATGCACCAGGACAGACTGAATGCAGAAGCAAATATGAGGATCCAGCTGCCTCCCATTAAGCCAGAAACTGAAGAGATTTGCAAAACTGGAAAACAATGTCACACTTGTCACTCATTTTTATGTCTGGAAAATACACAGTTGTATTTCATAACCCTCTTTACGGTAACACGTATGGGGTTTACTACTGATTTCTAAAATGAATTAATATTTTTGAAGTTTCTCAGTTTTGATTTCTAATGTGATAAATGTCAAGAGCTACAACCCATGTAAACAAAAGCTCTCTGGAGGCCCTGGGTAAGCCTTAAAAATGTAAAGGGATCTTGAGACCAGAGAGCTGGAGAGCCAGCTGCCGAGCCACAGCTGGGTTAACTTACTCCCACAGCTGGGTGGGCAGAGGCGGCTTGCAGGCCACTTCCTCAGACCACCTGATTTCAGTCTCCATCTTGGCCTCTCCCCACCAAAGAGCTTCCTAGCACTTGTGATTGGATCCTGATTCGGCAAAATTTAATCCCATGCAATTTATGTCAGTGTCAATGAAGTTGGGGAGAGCGTAGTAGTGCTTTTCATGAGAGAACCCTTCAGATATGTGGAGATCAGAACACTGTTTCAGCCTTTACTTTGCCAAGATAGGCAACTAGAGGCAAGAATCTCTCCCTGGCTTGTAGTTTCCAATCTTAAAAAAAAAAAAAAAAATTATCATTGTAATTCCTTGCCTTCAGAGCATATCTCAAAACAAACATTCACTGGCTCCTGTATAGATCCTAGTCCCTCCGACTTGGCTCCACAAAAACTGTGGGCTCCTGATGCTAATCAACACCCTCACAGCAGCATCCCATCTAAAGCATTACATCTAAAGAAATAAAATCCATTAGACAAGGTGCTGGTTTGACAGTACCAATAATGCACTAAAAATTGCATTTTGCAAGTAAAGCATATACGCCTTAGAGAGCATTTAAGAGTGTATTAATATTTTACTTGTTCTGTCATTTGAGATTTAAAAACTTTTTAAAAGAATGTTTTAGGAGAGGGCGCCTGGGTGGCTCAGTCGGTTAAGCGACTGCCTTCAGCTCAGGTCATGATCCTGGAGTCCCGGGATCGAGTCCCGCATCGGGCTCCCTGCTCGGCGGGGAGTCTGCTTCTCCCTCTGACCCTCCCCCCTCTCATGTGCTCTCTCTCATTCTCTCTCTCTCAAATAAATAAAATCTTTAAAAAATAAAATAAAAAAATAAAAATAAAAAAAGAATGTTTTAGGAGAAACAAAAAGGGAAAGTGATCTTTATTCCAGTGTTACCATATATAGGGAAACCCTATATAAGGAAGCATTTCTTTCAATATAAGTTTACCTCGTCATAAAGTTTAACTGTCTATCCAAATGATGCATAGTACCACTGGCCTGGGGCAACCGCCTTCAGCCCCTTCCCCCTGACCATTTCAGAGAAAATTAAGGAAATAATAACCATGATTCCTACACTTGTCATTTTGTTGAATTACATATCCTTCGTAAGGAAGTGTTCCCTTGTGAGCATATAATTCTAAAAGTCTATAGCTTTCTCTTATGGAATAATAACTTTGTAAACAATAACAAAGGCAGAAGAAATTCATATTTTCGGATATTTATCCTTCAATCTGTATTATCAAATATCTAAAAAAAAAAATCAAGAATTATGGTTGGATGCTAAATCTGCCATACATAATTTGTCATTATTGGTTCCAAGCAGAAAAATGAAATACATTTAGCTGTTCTGACCCACACCAAAGCTGAAATTCACTAGCACCTTTAAGATCACGAAGACACTAACAAATTATTACATTACCTGTTTGGCGGATTATTACCCATGTGGGGGGGATCATGCAAGTTATATTAGAAGGATTTTGGTAGCTGTGATGTTCAAAGAAGAACAAAAAATAAACGAAAACATGGAGAAAATGCTTACTGTTTAAATCCACGTAAAAGCAAAAGTCTCATCACGATTGCAAAACATTCTAAATTGTGAAACTTAAGTTACTTGTAAAATAGACAAAAGTAGAGCTGCTTCCCCAGTCGTTTTTTGAGACCTCAGCATCAATTTAAAGAAAATGCTTATATTTTAAAGAAAGCTTATTTCAAAATGTGAATCCTTACACTAAGTACAAATAAGGACAAGAAGGAAATTTACATCTCATATGACAGTGCTCCATGGGTATGCAAATGAAGATGATGGGAAACTGAAGTTTACAAAAAAGTTATTTGCTTCACTATCCAATTCTTTAAGGAATAATAAGAGATGGGAGCCTAGAAGAATGACAACTGGTGCTAATATAAAAATGATCAAAATTACATAAAACTGTTATGTGGATTACGTGGAAAAAAGAGGAAAGAAAGGACGGATGTACTTCACTGTGTAGAAAAGATCTACTTCTGTCAAATACTGTCTACAAAAATATTTTTGTATAATGAATCATTTTTCCCAATCTCATTTTTAAATCAAAATTATGTTGGCATCACAATCACAGTCACATGGAATTTATGCTACCAAAAGACAGAAGGGATCGAGAGGATCCTGGTCCAAATTTGAGAAGAAAAAGACTAGTTGAGAAAACACTGCTACTGCTACTCCAAAGCAGCAAAACTAGAATTCAAACTGGTTATTTTAAAAGCGTGGCACAGCAGTTTACAATTTGAAAAACACCACTGCTATTTTAATAAAATAGTTCCGTTTTAATTTCCCAATTCCCCTCCCCAGCAATGGGACAATACAGTGTCACTTTGTCGAGCTGCTGGGGAATTTTCTTAGCACTTTGTGGAAACTGTTGGCTTTCAGAAATGGACAGGCTGATTTGAACTAAAAGTCAGACAAAATACAGAATTGCAACAACAATAAAAAGCAATTTAGAAAGAGGATCAAGCCAAGCAGATAGGCAAAACTATAAAATCAGTTTTCTGGGACTGTTTATCAGGTCAGTTCCCTAATTTCAAAAAGCCAAACCAAAGCAAAGCATGCGGACTTACATTGCTTCTTTAGTTCTTTCAGCTGTTGTTTAAACTGTACAAATTTTGCATTATTTTGAAAGTCTGCATCACAATTCTTATTCTGTAAAGCCAAAAATTTCTTCTCCACTAATAATTTTAGATCTGGTATTTTTTCTGGACGTTCTTCTTTTACCTGAAGAAGACAATACAATTATCTCAGTTAAATGTTAACAATGACACTGTTTTGTAACATTATTTTTATCTCATTTCACTCAAATAAAAATACAGTGAGGTAGGAAACAGAATCCCAACAGAACCAGAGAGGCTGAGACTTGTTCCAGAACAGACTGCTGATAAACAGTGGGGGGAGCCATTCATCCCGTCCACTCATCACTTTAATCTTAAACCCTCGCCCCAGTGCCCTACTAACTTCCATCTCCTGACAACTTACTAGGGAAAAATCTCACACCAGCGCAACTCTGTGCCCTCCAACTTCACCAGAACTTGAGCCTCATGGCTTCCTCCTTTTTGTCAGGTCTGCTCAGTCCCCTCTCCTACTCCCCAAGTCCTGATTCCAGCCTTCATTCTCCTCAGGGCTCCTCTGCTCTGGCTCTCTGCCCCAACGGGGAAGAGTGGCTGGGACTTCATGAAGAAGTTGAGGCTTTAACCTTGAATTTCACCATCTGCTGCCACAACGAGGAGTAAGTGTCCCCTGTTCTGTTCAAAGCTAAACTCTCAATCTATATTCCTTTTGTTCCTCCCAATATTTTATTATAAAACTTTCAAACACGTGGCAAAGTTGGAGGAATTGTATTTTGCCATTCACCTACCTCCTAGATGCTACAATTAAGACTTTGCTATGTTTGCATTATCACCATTAACTGTTCCATCTATCTGTTTTTCTTTCTATCCTCAATCTTGCTTTCAAGTTCCTTCTTAATTCGGTCTTCTGCACCTGTCAGAACAAACTTTCACCTCTAGAAGCTTTCCCCCCAAAACCTCTAAATTAGCTCTTTACTTCCAAATTTAACAACAACAACTTCCTCAAACCCCTGCCCACTCCCCTCAGTTCTTTTCTCTTTATAGTCCAGCTCCTTGGAAAAAATCCTCTGTACCCACTGTTCCTACTTCCTCAATCTCAAACTTGAGCCACTTCCATCAGTGGCTCCCCCAGCCCCTCCCCAATTTCACTGTGATTGCTCCTCTTCAGGCCTTCATATTTGGCTCCTTGAATCACTGGCCTTTTCCTGATGCTCCTGCCACCAAGCAAAATTCACCCAACTCTCCCTCATGTCCCAACACGCCTTAGACTTCTACCACAGCCCCTGTAACAGTGAGTTGCATTTATTTTTACGTTTCTTTCCCCTAATAAAATGCACTCTTTGAAAAATATGTGATTTATCACTGTGTTTGCCAGCACCTGGCATGTAGTAGATTGTATTCAATATATGTACTTGATATCTTTCAAGTGAATTAATCTACATGCTCCAAATATACTTACCCACTACAACCCCACTGATCGACTTACTGTCATTAGCAGAGTATACAATATAATTTCTGAAGTGGAAGACAACTTAGAGGTCATCCAACCTTGATCTCCACCTTCCTCAGTTTTATAAATAAATAAAATTATATAGAAAGAATTAAATGACTTGTTTACTATAATCCAGTTGGTTGGAGGCAATGTCAAGACTGTAAAATAGATACAGAAAATTCTTACTTTTGGTTCCAGTCAATGGAATATACTTCTTATCTCTCCGAATCTGAGTACCAAGGCATATGAAGTCCAAAGATTACCTGCAACTTATGTTTCAATTACCCTTTGTCATGGAAAAAAGAATTTTATAATCTTCTTTTGTTTAACTGCTTTGGATTTTAATTAGCTAAGTCAAAAACAAAAATTAGGCATGAAACCAAAATGCCTAAATGTATATATATATAGTACTGAGTGTAGAAACGGACTGTCTTCTCATTGTACAGATGTTATTCAACCAGTGCTGGATCCATCATCAAAGAGAGTTGTGAGAAATATGGAAAGGCCTTAATGACACATCTTATATGTAATTAAAAATTTAAAATAAGGCCTGTAAGGCTAAAGAACCAATAAAGCGCAGTTTGGAAAAGAGAAGGTAGAGAGGCAATTTAATAATGCCTCATGTCTCAAGAAAAAGAGCTGTTATACATGGTGACTAGCCATCCTCCACCTCTACCATGGATACAAGATGAAACAAGTTTAAGATTGTAGCATGAAGTTCAGAGTAGATATAGAAAATAAATTACAAGTTCTCAGAAAAGAATTATAGCCTCTCATTCTGGATTTATAAAATAAAATGGACTCAGATCCACCTGAGATGTTAATGGTGATATTACAGGCAGGTATAAAGGTGAACCTTCTCAAGGTCTTTAATGGGGTTGAAATTATTATTTAATCTGAGGCAATCAGAGCAGACCTGAGCAGATGATCAGTAAATGCAAAAGTTCTTTTCCAATAAAGTCTCTAACCCACTCAACATATTTAATTTCCCTAGCTTCATTACCTCCACTGCTGAGGAGCTGGCTGGAATGTGAGGGAGGAGGGGATGGAGAAAGAACAGGCATTATGAGGTAGACAATATGGCAACCTGAAATAGGACAGGAAAACCTGAATAAACCAAATTTAGTGATTCAGAGTACTCTCTTCCCCCAAGGCCAGAACCTCAAAAGAACTCCTGGAAAGCACATAAATTCACCACAGCAAGTATCTTCTCTGGAAATGTGATGCTGCGGTTGGCAAAACTATGCATTGCAGAGAGAACTTACTGCACTCTAGCTATTAAAACAAGAGCCTGGAAAATATTAAACTCCTTATCTGTTTAAAATCAATGCAATAAATGGGGATTAATGATATTTTTAATGGAATCTTGCTTTGTTTGTATGTTCAAGAGAAATAAGATATATCATCTCAAAACTGGAAGGAAAAAACCCAGTCTTTGGGTAGCTGATCATAAGTGCTATCTAGTCTGAAAAAGGTAAGGATGGCCCACTTTCCCCAGGACAAATTTAAAATACTTCCAAGAAATCTGATACTGGAGGAGAGATTTTATTGGATCCTCAGTCCATCCCTTTCCTAAGGATAAAGTCCCGAGACACAGGACTTAAAACCTAAGCGAATTAAAAGACACAGGGTATATCAGTTTGCTAAGGCTGTCACAACAACTTAAGCCATCACAGACTAGGAGGCTTAAACAGAATATATTTTCTTACAGATTTGGAGACTGGAAGTCTTTGGCTTGTCGACGGCCATCTTCTCCTTTTAAGTCATCACATGGTCTTCTTTCTACGTGTCTGTGTCCGAATTCCCTTTTCTTATAAGGACAGCAGTCTAATGGACCAAGGCCCATCCCACTGACTTCATTTTAACTTAATTACCTCTTTAAAAACCCTATCTCCAAAATGGTCATACTCTAAGGTACTGGGGATCAGGATTTCAACATATGAACAATTCAGCACATACACTAGGTTAATAAATTTATGAAGCAGGATTTTTTTTTAAAAAGATTTATTTATTTTTTTAAGCACTTGCTGGTTCTTTTTTTTTTTTTTTTTTTTTAATTTTTGACAGAGAGAGAGAGAGACTGTACAAGCAGGGGAAGCAGCAGGCAGAGGGAGAGGGAGAAGCAGGCTCTGCTCAGCAGGGAGCCCAATGTGGGGCTCGATCCCAGGACCCTGGGGTCATGACCCAAGTTGAAGGCAGACGCTTAATGACTGTGCCACCCAGGTGCCCCTGTTTATTTATTTGACAGAGAGAGAGAGAGAGTGCGCATACACCCGGGGGCAGGGAGCCTGACCCAGGGCTCAATCTCACAACCCTGAGATCATGACCTGAGTTGATATCAAGAGTTGGATGCTTGGGCGCCTGGGTGGCTCAGTTGGTTAAGCGACTGCCTTCGGCTCAGGTCATGATCCTGGAGTCCCGGGATCGAGTCCCACATCGGGCTCCCTGCTCAGCGGGGAGTCTGCTTCTCCCTCTCCCACTCCCTCCTCTTGTGCTCTCTCACTCTCTCTCTCACAAATAAGTAAATAAAATCTTAAAAAAAAAAAAAAAAAAAAGAGTTGGATGCTTAACCAACTGAGCCACCCAGGTGCCCCTGAAACAGGATTTAAAAAAAAAACAGCTCATAGATTATTCATCTTTACACCACTGTAATTTAAAAATGACAGAAACTATCAAGAGGTAAACTTAGCAGATACCATACTTACATAATGGGAATTTGATACTGCCCTTGGGAGAGAAAAGGTCAGGTTTTCATGCACCACCCACTTACCCATCCAGTATTCAGTGAGTACCTTCCAAATGCTAATAAGCACCATAGCTAAACAGGAGAGAAACCAGAAAAGTTGATCAGGAGCAGATGGTGAATAGCTCTGAAAGTGAGACCTGATCTGATAGGCAGCAGGAAAGACACTAAAAGACTTTAGGAGTAAAATAAGAATACCATGAAAAATTTTTTAAAAATAATTGCTAAAATTGAAGCATATAAGATGCACTTCAGACAAGAAAGGAGGAGGAAGATATTGCTGTAGGTTAACTAATGGCAGAGGTGCTGGCAACCTGACCAAATTGTAATGCCATTTTTTTTTTTTTTTAAGATTTTATTTATCTGACAGAGGGAGAGCATGCAAGAGCACAAGCAGGGGGAACGGCAGAGGAAGAGGGAGAAGCAGGCTCCCCGCTGAGCAGGGAGCCCAACGCAGGGCTCGATCCCAGGACCCCAGGACCATGACCTGAGCCGAAGGCAGATGCCTAACCAACTGAGCCACCCAGGTGCCCTGTAATGCCATTTTTAAAGCAGAATGGCCAAGTCTTATCGTGAGGAGGACAAGGGATTGTGGACGACTCCAGGATATTTAATAGTTAATAAGGGCAACTAAGTAAATTACATTTCTTGAGGAAAGAAGTGGGCAATCCGGAATGTCTGTCGAGTGGAGAGCTCTAGTACGCAGCAGGAAAGACATTTAAAATGAGAAGATGGGAACAGAAAGAAAAGAGATGCAAAAGGAAGTCTGAAAGAAGCAAAGAAGAAAACCAGGTGTGAGGAATGCCACAGGAGAAAGAAAGAGAGAAAATTTTCTTAACAGAGGTGTTTGTCCTTTGGGAAAATGATGCAAGAGAGCTCAAGTAAGATAAGGTCTAAAAAGAGACTGGACTTCGTT